TTTCAAAGGTTCATGATATTTCTCCAACCCTGGTGTACAAAATGTGTAAATGCCACTAGTGAGAATGATCTTTTACTGACAAACTTACAGTAGCTCCGGATGTGTAAATGTCTATGTTGAAGAACTGGAACAAAATAAAAGATTGGCAGCAGCGATGAAATACCTTATATGTTATAATTGTAATATACATTAGCTAGACCTTCAGTCTATACTTTTTATTAGTTGTGATAACATGTAGATACCCAATATTTTAGTGCTTTGAAAAACCCTTTACATTTTCGTTAGACTTTAATTATGTCAAATATTTGCTCCTTTAGTAGAAATAAAGACAAAACTAAACATAGTTATAGGAGTCTATACAATGTTCTTAAATGCACAAAGACGGCGCTGTTCAAATGTTGAAACAGCTTAAATAGGCTTTTTGAGCAGACTAATTGGAAAGTATGCAGGGGAATGTTTGCATTGTTCTGTGCACTGCCCTGCCCATGTGCACTCTTTCTGATGCTAGCTATAAACTGGTCCCAACAGTTGCCATATTTGCTTTGCTACAGGTACAGGTGTATGTCCGTTATACTTGATACAGATTACTATTATTATTCTATTTGCATATTAAGCTAGTTTTTGTGCACAAGATACATTTACAAACTTTTTTTGAATTTAAGATAACATCTAAAGCATATCAACATTCTTATATTTGTAAAGAATATATGTAACCCAATTGTTGGTTTTAGAACCTGAATGGAGTTTTTTTTCTGTGGGCAACCTAAACACCATTCTGTTGCCAATTTTTTTTTTTGTTGTAGTTGGCTAAACTAAACATCATTCTGGCCTTTTTTTTCCTTTTCTGAAAGGTAACTGAACTTTAGAATTATATTTGTGACTAATACCGTAAATAAAATACCTTGAAAGGTCTGTTTTTCCTCCATAAACAAATTCTGTATGTTTGGGTGAGGTACCGTGGAACTACCAACCACCAATTTTTAAAGTTCATTGATCAGATGTACTGTAAGTTATGATTCCATTAATGTTTGTAATTAAAGTTATGGAGGATTAGAGTAGATAACAGTGACCTGTTTTAGTTTGCATGTCTGTGCCACTAAATACATGTAAAATACACACAAATATTCACATAATACAGCAATCACCTCAGCTATGGCTGGACAAACAAGTGTGTTTAATATTTTCCTATGCAGTGAACAGGCACTGGAAACATTTCTGGTTTCCTGTTGGCTAAAGATTTGTTAGAATACATAAAGAATGCCAGAACTGTCTGTGTTGTGTCACTAATCTTTTTTTTATTTAATGAGATTTCAGGCCTGTTTAGAGTCTTAACCTAGATGGGCCTTTAGAAAAATGCACACAAGTCTTAGAAAGTCCTCCTCGTCTTCTTCTATTCCACACTAGGGAGGGTGATCAAATGTATTGTAGTGCATATCTATAGTAGCAAAGCTAAAAAGTAAATTAAAAAGAAAATAAATACAGCAAATATAACATATAGAACAGAGATAGAAAAGATTTCATTCTAGAGAGATTAAAAAAAAAAAAAGCTTGTAAGAAATTGAAAGTGCCAGACTGGTCCATCCTTCTCTTACAGACCCTGTCGCAGTGTCTGCCCATATACTTTCTCCTCATCTTGACTCCCCACAACCTTCCAGACACCCACTATACCTCCTGACTATAGAACTGGAAAAAGAAGGTAACCAGAGGGAGATGAGGACTTGTGGCTGTCTACTTGGTGAAAATTAGAGCTGGGATGAGAAAGTGTGAGCGTCTGCCAAGGAACAAGGAAATAGTACATATCAAATACCTTTAACCACTTGAAACCCTGGGCCTTTTTCTGCTAAAATCCCCTCGAGTCCAAGAATGTTTTTTTTTTTATTTAATTAATGTCTCTGTTCTGCAAATTCTACCTTTTAGCATTTTCAGTCTACCCTAACGCATTAAACCCATGTGGTAAAGATAGGGATTTAATTTGTGGGGCAGCACAGTGGCTAAATGGTTAGCACTTCTGCCTGGCAGCACTAGGATCATTGGTTCAAATCCCAACCACGACACCACTTGCCTGGAGTTTGCATGTTCTCCCTGTGCCTGTGTGGGTTTCCTCTTACACTCTAAAGACAGGCTGGTAGGTTAATTGGATCCTGTCTAAACTGGCCCTAGTATGTGTATGTATGAATGTAAGTTAGGGAATTTAGATTGTACACCCCTTGAGGGTTAGGGACTGATATATATATGTAAAGTGCTGCATAAATTGACAGCGCTATATAAGTACCTGTAATAAATAAATAATTGGTAAGCAAATTTGCATACACATTTTTTATTTCTTTGGTTTATATTGGGAAGGAATAGTAAAAAAATAATTAAAAATTGCATCTATCTGTAAATTCTCCCAAAGCAAAGTTTACCTAATTTGTGCTCACCCATATATTTACTTCACAGTATAGTCAACAACATCTGCTGATTATAAAATCTCCTTCATGTGACTTTTATGTAATGTATTAATATGGTAAAGCTCAAAGTGAATGAATGAATGAAAAAAATGCATTTTACTTAAGGAAAGTTTTATTCCCCTTTAAACACTATATTACGACTCACGCAGTTGAAAAAATAAACACATATTTGCGTATGATGCTGCATTACTCAAAATAACCTTCTCACAAAATTTGACTAAAAAATAAATATAAAATAAACACACACAGAGCACTTAACTCAATGGTAAGTGATAATAACATAAAGTAAAAAACTAAAATGAAATAAAAACATGATGCTATGCTACTCAAAATAACCTTCTCACAAGATGCAACTAGAAATAAGATAAACACCCCACAGAGCACTTAATTCAATCATAAGTGATACCCAGACCCAGTTCCTCATCAAATGGAAAGGCTACGGTCCAGAGGATAATTCCTGGGAACCATCCGCAAATGTCCATGCTCCATGGTTAGTTGACTAAGGGCCCCCTGCTTCTCATTCAACCATTTCTAGTTGGCTCAGATAGACCATTGTTAAGGCTTATGGTCTCTGGTGTCAGGTTCAGCCTTTTCCAATAAAGGTTCACTCCACCAGGGCTGGCAGTGCTTTTTGCCATCAGGCCTTTGTTTCCCAGGTTTGTAAGGTTGCTACCTTGTCTTCAGTTCTCACGTTTTCCAAGTTTTAACAACTGAAACTTTTGGTCTATTCTGATGCCAGCTTCACGCAGTCCCTTATTTGTGCTCTATGTTGGGCCTTTTAACTTTTTTTGATCCTGTGTTGCCTACCCCTTGGTTGGACAGTTCACATATTGTACAGCCATTTATGTAATATATATATAAATATATATATATATACACATACAGGTGAAACTCAAAAAATTAGAATATCGTGCAAAAGTTCATTTATTTCAGTAATGCAACTTAAGAGGTGAAATATATGAGATAGACTCATTACATGCAAAGCAAGATAGTTCAAGCCGTGATTTGTCATAATTGTGAGGGTTATGGGTTACAGCTCATGAAAACCCCAAATCCACAATCTCAGAAAATTAGAATATTGTGAAAAGGTGCAATATTCTAGGCTCAAAGTGTCCCATTCTAATCAGCTAATTAAGCCATAACACCTGCAAAGAGTTTCTGAGCCTTTAAATGGTCTCTCAGTCTAGTTCAGTCGGAATCACAATCATGGGAAAGACTGCTAACCTGAAAGTTGTGCAGAAAAACCATCATTGACACCCTCCATAAGGAGGGAAAGTCTCAAAAGGTAATTGCAAAAGAAGTTGGATGTTCCCAAAGTGCTGTATCAAAGCACATTAATAGAAAGTTATGTGGAAGAGAAAAGTGTGGAAGAAAAAGGTGAACAAGCAGCAGGGATGACCGCAGTCTGGAGAGGATTGTCAAGAAAAGGCCATTCAAAAGTGTTGGGGACTTTCACAAGGAGTGGACTGAGGCTGGAGTCAGTGCATCAAGAGCCACCACACACAGACAGATCCTGGACATGGGCTTCAAATGTCGTATTCCTCTTGTCAAGCCGCTCCTGAACAACAAACGTCAGAAGCGTCTTACCTGGGCTAAAGAAAAACAGACCTGGTCGTTGCTCAGTGGTCCAAAGTCCTCTTTTCTGAAGAGAGCAACTTTTGCATCTCATTTGGAAACCAAGGACCCAGAGTATGGAGGAAGAATGGAGAGGCACACAATGCAAGATGCTTGAAGTCCAGTGTGAAGTTTCCACAGTCTGTGTTGATTTGGGGAGCCATGTCATCTGCTGGTGTTGGTCCACTGTGCTTCATTAAGTCCAGGGTCAATGCAGCCGTCTACCAGGAGATTTTGGAGCACTTCATGCTTCCTTCCGCAGACGAGCTTTATGGGGATGCTGACTTAATTTTCCAGCAGGACTTGGCACCTGCCCACACTGCCAAAAGCACCAAAACCTGGTTCAATGACCGTGGGATTACTGTGCTTGATTGGCCAGCAAACTCGCCTGACCTAAACCCCATAGAGAATCTATGGGGCACTGCCAAGAGAAAGATGAGAGACATGAGACCGAACAATGCAGAAGAGCTGAAGGCCGCTATTGAAGCATCCTGGTCTTCCATAACACCTCAGCAGTGCCACAGGCCGATAGCTTCCATGCCACGCCACATTGAGGCAGTAATTGCTATAAAAGGGGCCCAAACCAAGTACTGAGTACATATGCATGCTTATACTTTTCAGAGGTCTGATATTGTTCTATGTACAATCCTTGTTTTATTGATTGTATGTAATATTCTAATTTTCTGAGATTGTGGATTTGGGGTTTTCATGAGCTGTAAGCCATAATCATCACAATTATGACAAATCACAGCTTGAACTATCTTGCTTTGCATGTAGTGAGTCTATCTCATATTAGTTTCACCTTTTAAGTTGCATTACTGAAATAAATGAACTTTTGCACGATATTCTAATTTTTCGAGTTTCACCTGTACATAGTATATTATTTATTATAATCAAAAAGTAAAGGCAAAACATGCTGAACAGAAATGTTAAATTTCAATTTACACTTTCTGCAAATACCAGCACATACCTCGTAGTAACAAGATGTTTCACTGAATACACAGTATACTGAATATTAGAGGGATATACAGTGGCTATCAAAGAGTCCACATGCAAGAGGTGAAAAAAACACAGTACAGACAAACGTTTCATGTCTGATGACAGTGTACCTTCAAATGCTGGTGGTTTACACAAAGAAAACAGAATTACAAGGTAGTAATGTAGAGGGCAATTTAGGGAACAGAGCATCAGAAGCATATACTTACAGTCTTTGTGACTTGTGCCATCTGGAAGCACACTTGCAGGATTGTGACTGCTGGACATATTTGAACTGTCCTGGCTGCTACCAAGGTGCAATCTTCTCATATGCCTCACTACTGCAGTAGCATTGAATGCTTGCTGAAAAAGTATGACAAAGTCAGTAAAATGATTGGGTCAACATATGAAAAAAGCTATCCAAATGTGTTCTTATACAAGCAAAGTGGTCTGAACTAGCACATATTCAGCTTTTTTCTTGACGTTACAGAGTCACATAGTTAGTATGGCTGAAAAAAGACAAAAGTCCATCCAGTTCAACCATAAAAAAAAAAAGTTATAATCCTATACCCACAGTTGATCCAGAGGAAGGCAAAAAAAACTCAGCAAAGCATGATCCAATTTGTTCCTGCCTCATTGAGGCTGACTTACTATAGGAGTTAAGACTTGTCACTCAATAAATAACAAGTAAATTCCTGTTTTTATTATTATTATTATTATACAGGATTTATATAGCACCAACACTATATAATCCAATACAATACAATTCAATACAGGAGGATTTAGAGGGCCCTGCTTGTCAGAGCTTACAATCTAAAAGGGTGCATCAAGTGATACAAAAGGTAATAACTGAGGGGGTTGAGCTGATGGAGAAAGTGGAAATACAGGTGTTAGATGAAGGTAGGACAGACTTCTCTGAAGAAAAGGGTTTTCAGGGATGTGGATAGAGTGGAAGATAGCCGGACAGATTGGGGTTGGGAGCTCTATGGGATGAGAGAGGCTTGGCAAAAAGTCCTGGAGGTGAGCATGGGAGGAGGTGGTAAGGGAGCTAGAGAGCAGGAGGTCTTGAGAGGAACAAAGAGAGCGATTTGGTTGGCATTTTGAGACAAGATTAGTGTGGTGGAATGTGGATGGAGGAGGATTTCACCTAAAAAAAAGAGCCATCAGCACATTGGCCACATCCAACTAAGTCATGTCTCTTCTTCTGATTTTTGTGTTTTTTATTTTGGCTGCACTTAGGCCTCAAAAGGTAATGAATCGGATTGCCAGGGAATTATCTACCTGTGTAACATGGTCTAGTGAGCAAATGCAAATATATGGGAAAATGTTAAAGCTTACGTTTAGTTAATTTACCACAAGGAATGGTACTTAATGCCTGCTCTTTTTGTTTAAATCTTCAATTGTCTCCCCCCCCATCCCTCCGAGGTTATCTTCCAGTTTTGTAGGGTGTAATACATGGCTCTGGACCTATCATGACAACTCATCAAGAGTTTCAACTATGGCCGCCCTTTTGGCTCCCCTTCCTCCATTCACAGAAGCTGTACTGTAGCTTCCAGCAATGATAAGCACTCTATGAATGAAGGACAAGCAGATGAATAAAAGATCTGCCTCCTCTATTCATAGATTGCTTTTCATTGCAGGAAGCTATAGTACAGCTTTTATGAATGGAGAAGGGGGGACAAAAAAGGGTCCATAGTCGATACAGAGTTTCCATTATAGGTCTAGAACAGTTTATTATGCCCTACAGAACTGGAAGTTTACCTCGGGGGGGACGGGGGAACAGAGTCAGCACTCCTGATTAATTCCAGCCCCTTGTATTAACTCCGATCAGATTACTGCTGTGCGGGTATGGGCCAGAAGACTGAAGATTTAAACAAAGAGAACAGCCATCAGCAAACAAGACACTTCTCATTCAATGTAAGTAACCATCCCTTTTGCTGATTAAAAAAAAAACAAACGAATTACATTTAAAGAGACAATCCCTACTATAGGGTGCAGAATGATACAGCCCATTTGAAAGCTGCCAAATCACAACTGGAGCTTTCTTTTGGTGGTATTTAATCACCACTGGGATTTTCTAATTTTTTTTCAAAATTAACGAAAAAAGACCGCAAATTTTGAAAAAAAAACAACACATTTCTTTGTTTCTGTTATAAAAGTTTGCAAATAAATAACTGTTCTTCATAAATTTAGGCCAATATGTATTCTGCCACATGTCTTTGGTGAAAATAACCCAACTCAGTGTTTATTATTTAGTCTGTAGGAAAGTTATAGAGCTCACAAACTATGGAATATATCTGAATATTGATCAGTCCTGAAGTACTGACAGACAATCTAATTTCTTGAGGCCCAAAAATGTCAGAACAGAACAGATATCCCCCAAATGACTCCTTTTTGCAAAGCAGACAGTCCATCGTATTTCATAAGAGGCATGGTGAGTTTTTTGAAGTTGTAAATTTATTAACATTTTTTGGAAAATGAAGAAATTAAAAAAAATATTTCCACAATTTTTTTTTACATACTGTCACCAGTGCAGTACAGTGTCATCATATAACTGGTGTGGCAGTGATCAGGGACACTGACTAGAGACAGTACGAAAAAAAAAAAATTGATAACTTTTTTTCAATTTGTTTTTATTTTTGTAATTATTTTTGTTACTTTTTTTTCATAATACACTGTAACATTGTACCATAGTAACATTGTACTACTTTGGGGAAGTAATCAGTATTTTTTTTTTACACAATTTGATTGCTTATAGCAAAGAATTTATTTGCTATAAGCAAGCATTTAACTGAATGAAAGCGATTCATTCAGTTTTTTTTTTTTTGTGATTAGCTGTGATTGGTCACAGCTAATCACATGACACAGATGGGCTGTGACTGGCCCAGCCTGTGCATGTGATCACTGTGACCATTCAAAGCTAGGCATACTTGTATACAATGGATGGCATGAAAGGAAGCCATCCATTGTATACAACTGTTATGTGACCTGCTGTGATTAGTCACAGCAGGTCACATGGTACTGGCAACGGGGCCGGTACACAGATATGTCATCGGCCGTGTCCGAGGTACACATCCGGTGGCAGATCTCGCCACAGCGCGGCCCTGCAGGCATGTGCAAAGCGCAATCCAGGAAGGATGTCAAATGACACCCTACTGCAGGGACGAGAGGTTCGCCCGGCAATCATTTGACTATAGGCTGGATGGGAAGTAGTTAATATATCGAAAATAACATAAGAAATATGTTTTTTACGTTAATATCTACCTTAAATTACATTGCTAATTGTATAATGTACTTGTCTGTAGCTTAAATACTGAAATGTGCACTTAAAACTGTCATTTTGTAACTTTTGGAAATGCCAGTAAATACTTGGCTGTGCCAGCGAGATTTGGGTGTAGTGTCAGTGAATTTCAATCTGGTAGGTTAGCAACACTGTTGTCTGCCTCGTGTGTCAGTATTTTGAGTTGCTGGATTAGAACAAGCATGCAGAAAGTGAACTCAAAATGAAGTTGAAATCACTGACACTTATTCAGGTCTCTAATTCCGAATATATTAACAAGCAGAGGCACACCATATATTCTCTCAGCAGAGCTTTGCCTGTAATGTTGTTTGCAAACTGTTACATTGTACTTGGCTCACACTGGTACAGTTTTGGATAAACCTACCCATTCATAAAGGTTTTAACAGGTAAACCGCTTTATTTTACATCCTTCAGTGGATAGGGCCTCTTGTTCACTTTACAGTATAAGATATCACATGTAGAAAGCTATAAATATGACAGGAACAGAAGATTTGTGATGACTTACCCTCCATTTGCTTTTTGCAAAGTTTTTACGGATTTGTGCACTGACAGATTCATGAATATTTTTACATAGAGCCGTATCCCCAGCAATCCTGGAAAATATTGAAGACAAGTTAAAATGTTTTCCAGTTACAGTCAGATTTGCAGACTTATCTCTTAAATTATTGACACACAGAAATGACTCTTCTGCTGTGGCTGATAAAATGCATACACGGCATTGACACAGAACCTGTAGATTTGTCAGTAAATAAAGTGGAAGATAAGCTTAACTATAACTATTCTTAAGAAATGTTCCCTCCACGTCCTCCTCCTACCTACCCTGCAAAATAAACGATGTGTGTACTTACCTTTTTTATTCCAGTTCCGGTTATCCTGCAGCTCCGTGTGTTAATGAATGGCTGCTGCTGGGGAGAGGAGGGACTACCAACAACGGATGGACCATGGGAGCTTATGGGTGGTGTCACCATTCTGGGAATTCATAGCCGTTGTTGAGCGCTCCCTTACACAGGGCTGCAGGGTTATGTGACTGGCCTGGACCAGATTTTAAAAAGGTAAGTACACAGATCTTTTTTCATACAGGGCATGCAGGATGGGTTGGGGGATTACATTATTAGGAATAGTTATAGTTAGCTTTTACTAACACTTTAAAGTGTTACTAAACCCAGGACCTTCCATTCACTATATCTGGTCTCCCACAGTACACAGAACATGGAAATGCAATTATTTTAGTAAATATAACCTGCTAAATACCTTTTCTTATCAGCACGTATTGCAGTCCTTTGACTTCTATCAGTGTCCAGCAGAGCACTGGTTAAAGCTTGTAGTAGGAGTTTTCATTCTGCTCTGACTGTTCTATGAGGCTGCAGGACCCCTGACCCATGTCTGGACTGTGCTGATTGGCCTTATGCTGATCACATGCACTTTCCCAAGAGAAAAAAAAAATCCCTAGTAATACACAACAAACTGAGCTTGTGCAGAATGGCTACAGTTCCATCTGTCTTATCAGGAAATAACACGTGGACATTTGAACAAGAGGAGAAGAAAAGAAGACAGGATCAAATGGCCTTTTTACACAACGCAGAGGATTAACCCCTTAGGTTCCACAGTGAGTATAACAAACATGCTTTACTGCATATACAGACTGATTATACTGTTGTAGGTTTAGTAACACTTTAATCATCATACAAACTAATATAGGTACAGATCAAGCTGAAAATGTGTCTGAACTGTAGCTTAGAAAAGTCTGCAGATCTTTTGTACTACTTCTGGACATGAATGCAGTTTGGGTATAATTTCCCTGGTCCCTGGTGACTAGCACATTTAGCTTATTGCCTGATGTTTATTGGATCTAATGAAAGCCTTCGTGTATGCTGGCTCCAGTCAGAGCAGTGCTATAGAGGCATCTGGGACTGATCACACTAGTTGTAATCTTTACAGTTCTTTGAAGTTATTTTCTGCATCTTGGATTGTTGTCTCAGAATAGTGTCTTCACCCCCATGTGTGACTCTGCTGCATTATTTCCCCCAGATGTTCTCAGGTTATTCTTCTGCAATTTCGGCAAAACCAAAATGGTGAAGCGGAGCAGCTGTCCTGTAATATATTTCCGCCTCTAATCCCTCTCACTTGGGGCCTATTAAAGGCAATCTGGTAAGCGCATTTTATGCAAAGAAAGCTATTTTTGCACATATTTGAATAAAAATGAATAATACAATATTCCATTTGCAAGAGGTAAGAAAACTGGCAAAACACCATTAAAATACTGAAATACACTTATATGGTCCCATCAGTATTAAATATGCACATTGTAAAAAGCTGATCCTGCTTGTCCCTTGTTGGCAGTACACTAACAGCAAAAATAAGCCCATTTGTGAAAGAGAAGAAGTAAAGGCATTAAAAAAAGTTTACATTTGATTGAATGAATTTTATGTTCTCAGTTTTTACACTATATCTATATAATATATATATATATATATATATATATATATATATATATATATATATATATATATATATATAAGAAAATATGTAAGTGGTTGCATAAGAAGGTTCTAATAAAAAACAACCAGGGTAGTGAGTGGTTACAGGTACCCAGGCGTTCAAAGGAATTTTATAGGGGAAACTGTAATGATTGTCCTGCACACAAACGTATGGAAAAATGCCCCAGTAAAGTGGTTTTACAGTGTCAAGGTTTTTTACCTTCATGCATTCTATGTATGAAGGTGAAAAACCTTCTGTGTGTAGCACCCCCCCCCCCCCCCAACATTTACCTGAGCCCCCTTACCTAAGCCTGGGTTCTCCAGGGTCACTCACTCCTGATTGGCTGAGGCAGCAGCAGTAAGCCAATCAGGAGAGAGGGGGCAAAGTCGAGCTGTGGCTATGTGTGTGAATGGATACGCAGAGCAGCGGCTTGGGAGTACGCCTATTTGGGTGCCCCCATAGCAAGCTGTTTGCTATGGGGGCACCTGACAGGAGGGAGGGGCCAGTTGCGCCGGCGAGGGACCCTAGAAGAGGAGGATATGGTGCTCTGTGAAAACTGCCACACAGAGCAGGTAGGTATGCGTTTGTTATTTTTAAGAAAAAAAACAAAAACAGGACTTTAGTATCACTTTAAAGTGATAGACTGGGGGTGAGAGGTTGTGTGTGGAAGTGGAATGCGCATCCATGAGTATCCATCCATACACTACAGTAGCAGCAGGATCAGTACTGATTGCTTGGTATTATAGTTTTGCATAGAAATCTAATTTAGTGTCCAATCTGCAGTGTGTGCTGTATTTTAGGCACTATTTACTGTATATAATATTGGCTATAAAGCAGTTTTCTGTGAACTATAATCCATTGCTGAGACGTACAGCTTAGTAAATAAATGCCAACTATTCTGTATCATTGTAATGCGAAAACGTACGTATTCATTTAATTGGTAAACCTGTTCCCAGCAATATTCACATTTGGGAATCTCGCTATGGGTTGACCACGTCAGTGGCTTCTTTCATCATTCAAAGGCTTAGCACTAGAGATGCTACCTCTGATCCCAATACAGTAGTTTAGAAGCCAAGTGTAGCCAGGCTCCAGCTACAGTAATATGAATGCAGTGGACATGACCTTAATGACTGCACACTGTTCAGTTTCTCCCTTTAGTGTTGCACTCAGACTGTCTGCATCATATTCCCTAGCCAAGAAGCCAAGGATTGTGGGACTTGTAGTCATGTGTTCAGCCAGAACTGGACTCCTGAGTCTCTTAAAACTACATCTCCCAGCAAGCTGCTAAAGGGAAACGGGGTTTATGGGAAAGGCTATTTAAACAGCTGCTTTCAGCAGGCCCTCACTCTCTTCTCCCCAGGATCCATCAGTGAGCACCAGGACTTCTGTCCAGCCACTAGGACTGCCTGTCAAGACCCTGCTAGACACAGCTGTCCCTGGGTGAACTTAAATCATTGTGCAACATTAGAAGATCCTCTGTCCCTCCTGCTGGTGATCGGTGGACCGCGCTGTGATCGTTAACCCAAGCTGCTGTGTTTCACATCTGACTTGACGTGCAGCTTCCATCCTCCTATTGGCTGGTGTACAGAGCCTGCATCGTTGCCTGTGTGTTGTCTACCTCCAGGATCTGGTGAGTGGGCTGAAGCCCAAAACCCCTTTCTTTCAGTGATATTTTATTTTACTTCAGGTACTTACATAGCGTCGTCAATTTATGCAGTGCTTTACATTTATATTGTACATTCACGTCAGTCCTTAACCCTCAAGGGGCGTACAATCCAAGGTCAACACATGGACACTGCATGCAGACACCGCAACCTTGGATTATTAAGGAACCTTACACTTTTAACCCTCCCTTAGGATTGCTACCACATTACTGAGCTCCAACGTGCTGGCAAAGTCTGTGTTCAGGCCTGATATCTGTATTGTTGTTACCCCCATTAACAGTAGGGGTGAACCCACTCAAGTAGAGACTGGCCCTTTTCACCATACAATTATGGTTCCTTGGGTTTAGCTCCCTCCAGTCAGTTCTCCCCACCATTGAGTCCCGTTTAAGTGCTCAATCAATTAGTATGTACTACCCCTTACACAGTTGAGTGTTATTCCTCATTATTGCATGCCGTTGTTACTTTATTGCTCATTACCTTATGTTGCATAAATTTGTTGTCTGCCTGAAGTGTGCTCATTTATGTTCAAACTGCCACTTATTCTAATTCATGACAATATATCAAGCTTGTTTATCACTAAATGGTGTGTGTGATTATTTTAAGGTGATAACTCACGGCCAGGATAAAGGTATTTTTTAATGCTGTCCTTATGCGTGTTTGCAGTGATTTTCATATAACCAGGTGTGTCAGAGGGGCTGAGGTTGTTCTTGGAGTCAAGGCACAGAACAGAGAACCCAGAATTACCATGCAGCTCCTTTGGGGGTAGCGCTACACAAGGAAATGGTATTCCCTGCTCATCCTTTGTAATATAAAAGGTAATAAGTGGGTTCAAATGGTGATCATAATACATCCTACAGCAGGTAAGTGGAGATGGGAAGTCCAAAACAGAGATCCCACAAGATTAAAAAAACAAAAGATGATTCAAGCTGCCACCATGAACCAAATAGGAAATGTCCGTTTTGGCAGCCCATAGTCTTTAATATAGATGGCTGGGAGCTAGCTAAAAATGAGCAATAGTTGCTGCAGTCTACTGATGATCATGAAACAGGCAATAGCTTAAATTGTTAACATACTTTCATTAAACTGTATGTATAACTTTTTTAAATTTTGTGTATAATATGTAATGATCAAAACCCCAGTCAGTTTATCTTTTGATGTCTGTGTTCCATTTGAGCATATCCTTTACCTTTCTGTACACCAGGAATGAAAGGAAATATCCACAAAATAAGGGGAATTTCCCTCTTAGGTAGGTGTCACTGGAACAGGTTTCCACAGGAAGATCTTCCTTCACTAACTGTTTTGATGTAATTGAGTGGATTTTTCACAATTATTTCAGTAATGAATGTCAACAGGAGAACAAGAAAGGATGACTCAACCCTTAAAAGACTCAGGAAGAACTAAATACCTGACAGCAGTTCTAATCCTTCCCTACTCTATCCAAAAATTGAAAAAAGAGGTGGTTTTACACACACTTTAAGGGTCCATTTACAGTTCTGTGTTGCAGTAATGCATGTAACATGCATTTTTGTGAAGCAATGCCAATCATTTCGAATGGTTGGCAGCCCCCAATGCACTAAAGCAGTGCACCTGACACGTTTGCTTGACACGTTTTTGATCCATGTGATTTCATCTATCCTGACACACATTCTGCTTTGCTACTGATACCTCAAAGTATTTTTGAGATCTTATGTTTACCAATAATTCTATATTATTTGATATTATGTTACACTTATATTAATTTTTTTCTCTCTAATTAGTAACTCCTGAAGAAGCAATAATGTTGCGAAACATGCCGAGTAACTATAGAGTAACTACTATGTGATTACCCATATCGATTTATGTCTTGTGATGTCTTTACCGAGATACGGTACATGTGTGTCAATTTTAACAAGAAAATAATTTTTGAAGAATTTTGTAACCAGCATAGAATACCTTACCCCCCTACATGGAAGTCTTGTATTCTTAGCGGAACAATATTATTATTATTATACAGTGTTTATATAGTGCCAAAAAGTTTGCTCAGCGCTGTACAATATAGTGGGGGACAGTACATGAGACAATACAGTAACAAAACAATATACGAGAGGTTCGAGGGCCCTGGTCTTTCAAGCTTACAATCTAGGAGATGTATGCAACTCATGTGTATGGTATACATTGCTATAATAAAGTGTTGTTTTTTTTTAATAATTTTTTTGTGCCTCTAAAGTCTGCAATTGGCCTTTGTTTTATGTGCTTGTATCATTATATTTAATATTATAAATAAGTAAATTGGCCCTCATAGACATTGGATCATCATGATCCTAGATATTTCTATATGATTATCATGGCGAGAGCACTTTGCAGCTTGGAAAGATACTCCTGTCCAATTGCTCTTGAAGAAAGGGTAGATCAATGAAGATCATTTTTCCCAAGTAAAAATTTCCTCTGAAATAACAGATGCTGGCAGATTTTTTGGTGCTTTGGGATTAGACGTTTGCGTCATGAAAAAATTGGATACAAGACTTTTGTGGACACAGTTGTAGTTGTCTTAGGCTTCAACCACACTGGGGCTGTTCTAAACACTTTTCTCCTGGCAAAAGAAAAGCCGCTACAAAAATGCCACTAAACTGTTTTTTTCATATTTTTTGGGCATATTTAAGTGCGTCAAGCACTTGGGCATTTATTCATTTAATTGGCCAGAATATTAATTTATTATGGCCACTGAAATTAAAAAAATGCTCAAGCTCTGAAATAGCCGAGTGTAAACTCACGTTTAGACGTGTTTACCCACATTTAGGAGCGTCAGGCTTTTTTCTGACATAACGCTCCTCTCTTGAATGCACAAGTGATGTTTTTTTCCCCTGCTTCTAATCTTCTATAAACTTCTATAGTGTTCAAGGACACATAACTTGGAGGGGAGTTTAAAGGCAAAAAAAAAAAAAAAAAAAAAGCTTAAACGACTGTAAAAGCAGCGTTTCTGAGTTCAAGTGTTTAGCACAGTGGCTAAATGGTTAGCACTTCCGCCTGGCAGTACTAGGGTCATTGGTTTGAATCCCAGCCACGGCATCACCTGCCTGGAGTTTGCATGTTCTCCCTGTGCCTGCGTGGGTTTCCTCTGGGTACTCCAGTTTCCTCCCACACTCCAAAGACATGCTGGTAGGTTAATTGGATCCTGTCTAAATTGGCCCTAATATGTGTATGTATGAATATGAGTTAGGGACCTTTGATTGTATGCTCCTTGAGGGTTAGGGACTGATGTGAATGTACAATATATATGTAAAGCACTGTGTAAATTGATGGTGCTATATAAGTACCTGAAATAAACAAATAAGTGTGCATGAAGCCTTACACTCCAATGCTGAGATTTTTTGGGATCATTTCAGAATTATTGTTGATGTGATGATCCAACTTTCTTACTGACTATAGTAGTTTGATAAACCACTAATTTATACTTCATTGCCCCAAAACCAGCTCGCTACTGACTTTTGCATATATCAGACATATTTGAATACCACATATTTGGCGCTTACTGCTCTTAGCGGAAAACAGGGTTACCGCAAACGCACACAGAGAGCCATCCAGTAACTCCAGCAGTCATAAATGGATCAACGCGGCAGAGGGATCAGCATGGAATTAAGCAGAACGTAACTGACCTCCATGCTTAGTTGTGGAAGTGAATCTCAACTTTTGGCCATAATGACTTTATCTAGTTCAGGGGTCTGCAACCTTTAAGACATAAAGAGCCACTTGGACCCGTTTCCGAGAGGGAAAAAAAGACTGGGAGCCGCAAAACCATTGCAACATTTAAAACAAATCCGACACTGCATATATTGCGAAAAGCGCTCTGGTCATGAAGGGGGTTTAAGGGCCCAGTAAGCAAAGGGTTAACCAGGGCCACAGTGTATCATCATAATCACAATCATAGCCTTAGGTCAGTGGTGGGCAACCTTTTTTTTCAACTGAGCCAAATCTCGCCAAAACCACGATTGAAATTTATTTTGAGAGAAACATTTTTAAAACTGAAAATACATCCCCCATATAGTAATTCATCCCCCATAGTAATTCATCCCCCATATAGTAATTCATCCCCCCATAGTAATTCATCCCCCCTATAGCAATTCATCCCCCCTATAGTAATTCATCCCCCCTATAGTAATTCATCCCCCCTATAGTAATTCATCCCCCATAGTAATTCATCCCCCATATAGTAATTCATCCCCCATATAGTAATTCATCCCCCATATAGTAATTCATCCCCCCTATAGTAATTCATCCCCCCTATAGTAATTCATCCCCCATAGTAATTCATCCCCCATAGTAATTCATCCCCCATATAGTAATTCATCCCCCATATAGTAATTCATCCCCCATAGTAATTCATCCCCCATATAGTAATTCATCCCCCATAGTAATTCATCCCCCATATAGTAATTCATCCCCCATATAGTAATTCATCCCCCATAGTAATTCATCCCCCATATAGTAATTCATCCCCCATAGTAATTCATCCCCCATAGTAATTCATCCCCCATATAGTAATTCATCCCCCATAGTAATTCATCCCCCATATAGTAATTAATTCATCCCCCATAGTAATTCATCCCCCATATAGTAATTCATCCCCCATAGTAATTCATCCCCCCTATAGTAATTCATTCCCCCTGTGTCAATTCACTTACCTTTGCTCCGCGCGTTCCTCTAGCTGTGTTCCCGCGCCGTTCTGGTCTTCAGGGCGGACTGTGAGAGGAGAGGAGTTCGTCACGCTGCCCCGCCTACATCCTGACAGCCAATGTTTGGAGGAGGGAGGGGAGCGGGCGCCCGGCACATAGAAGAGCTGCATTAAAAGAGCCGCGGCTTGCCGACCCTATTGCCTGTCACCTGGTGGGCAGTGTGCTCCGGAGCCGCAGGAAAGGGGAAAAAGAGCCGCATGCGGCTCCGGAGCCGCGGGTTGCCGACACCCGATCTAGTTAGTACAAGCTTCTAAACCACAGAGGCAAGATTTACAAAATACCCGAAAGATTTGCATTTACCATGGGTGTCGCAGTGCTTGTTCACAGGTGTATCTCTTGTTGGGATCCTTTTCCATCAAATGGCTGATAAAATCTTTAGCTGTTAAAAGACAAAATACTTTTAAATATGGCAGAGCTGCTATACTCATTTGTGTGATACAAGTCAGCTGTTCCATTTATTTCTGTTCACAGTTGTGAATTTACAATGTGATTTTCCCCCTGTGGCCTTGTTTGCAGAATATCAGCGGCTTATTTACAAAAATGATATGTTAAGGTAAACTAAAGATCATGATTAATGTCACGTCAAGCAATTCTTGGGCTGCTGTTCAAGTAATCACAAGCCTTGTTATTTCAAAAATAACAAGTGTGTTGAGTTATTAATTCAGTACATGATTGTTCCTGACTGTTTCATTAGAGGAACTGCGTGTATTCAATCCTACTGGAATACTCCATCTGTTGTCACCCTGCAGGACTAACCCACAGTAAGCATAAAGACAAAAACAAAGGTGCCCTACTATGCAGAAGTGGATACTAATTTCAGATACTTACACCTACCAAACGAACATAATTACAAAAGTGCAAAGTACACATGCCAGATTGCATAGCCAGGTCCTGTGCTCCCTTAGACTTCTCTGTAGAATACATTCTAGTTAACCATTTCCATACCGGGCACTTTTACCCCCTTCCTGCCCAGGCCATTTTTCAGGTTTCAGCGCTCTCACACTTTGAATGACAATTGCGTGGTCATACAACACTGTACTCAAACTAAAATTTTATCATTTTCTTCACACAACTAGAGCTTTCTTTTGGTGGTATTTAATCACCACTGGGGTATTTATTTTTTGCTAAATTAACAAAAAAAGACCGAAAAGTTTGAAAAAAAAACACGTTTTTCTTTTTTCTGTTATAAAAGTTTGCAAATAAATAATTGTTCTTCATAAATTTAGGCCAAGATGTATTCTGCTACATGTCTTTGGTGAAAATAACCCAAATTAGGATGTATTTTTTAGCTTGTAGGAAGGTTATAGAGTTCACAAACTATGGTATAGATCTGAATATTGATCAATCCTGAACTACTGACAGCCAATCTAATTTCTTGAGGTCCAATATGTCAGATTAGTACAGATATCCCCCAAATGACCCCTTTTTGCAAAGTAGACAGTCTGATGCACTTCATAAGAGGCATGGCGAGTTTTTTGAAGTTGTATTTTTTTGTCATAATTTTTGAGAACAAGAAAAAATTTAAAAAATTATTTTCACTATTTGTTTTTTTTACATACTGTCACCAGTGCAGTACTGCGTCATCATATAACTGGCATGGCGGGGATCAGGGACACTGACTGGTGACAGTATGAAAAAAAATATATATATATTTTTTAAAAAATGTTTTATCATTTTTAATTTTTTATTATTTTTTTTCTTTTTTTTAAGATTTTTTTTTTATATTTCACTATGACCAAAGTAGTACAATGTTACCATAGTAACATTGTACTACTTTGGGGAAGTCATCAGTATTTTTTTTTTTTTTTTTACACAATTTGCTTATAGCAAAGAATTACTTTGCTATAAGCAAGCATTTACCTGAATGACATCGATTCATTCAGGGGTTTTTTTTTTTTTTTTGTGCTTAGCTGTGATTTGGCCACAGCTAATCACATGACATGTGCATGTGATCACTGTGACCATTCACAGCTAGACACTAGTATACAATGGATGGCATGAATGAAGCCATCCACTGTATACAACTGTCATGTGACCTGCTGTGATTGGTCACAGAAGGTCACATGGTACCAGCAACAGGGGCTTTGTCCGAGGTACATGGCCGGTGACAGATCGCGCTGCTGCGCGGCTCTGCAAGCGCGCAAACTGAGCATGCCTAGGAGTACGCCATGTGGCGTCCACCCGGAAATCTAATGCATTTTTCCGGCCGCCAAACGGCTATTGGCCGGGCGGCTAATGGTTAAGCAAGACAACGCAGCCTCAGACCTGCCCTAGCCTGGCATTGGACAAGTAAGGAACAGCCGTAGATAATTCCTTCACTCTTTACTTCTGTCATAATGTAAAGAGAATTACAGGCGTTCCTCAGTTTACGAATGCCTCGGTTAACGGACTTTTCGGTTTACGAATGAAAATCCATTGAAAATAATGGCTCGGTTTATGAATTTTTTTCGCAATATGAACGGATTAACTGGTTTTCAATGCATTTACATTTTTTTTTTAAATCATGTCCCTTTTTGCCTTTAAAGTGCACTTTGTAAAGAGTTTTTAACAGATAAAACTTTTTTTTAACTTTTTTCTGACCTCCGGAACGGATTAATTGGTTTTCAAAGCATTTACGAATTAATTTTTAATCATGTCCCTGTACAGTATTTATGCCTTTAAAGTGCATTTTATAAAGAGATTTGAACAGAAAATACTTTTTTTAAACTTTTTTCTGACCTCCAGAATGGATTAATTGGTTTTCAATGCATTCCAATGGGAAACTGTTTCGGTTTACGAATTTTTCGCAATACGAAAAGTCCCGCAGTACAAATTAAATTCGTAAACTAAGGTACGCCTGTATACATAAAATTGCTACACAAGCCACAGTGTAATATATATTTTTAAATGACCTCTCCTTTGCAATGCAAACAACTACAATTTAAAAAAAAAAGTGTTGCTTCCTTGCAACCATGGCAACTAAGCGGCTTCTCTATACTGTTGCATGCATAATGGTCTATTAATCCAATTTCCTGTTCATGTGTTTGAGTCACTGCCTTTTCCAGAGGTCTACACAGGCGTGTAGTGAAACCCAAAACACTGTGTGGTGTAGGGAAGAGTGAAGATCGCTGGAATGGGGAAGAAGACACGTAGGGGGTTATTTACTATAGCTGGAGAGTGTAAAATCTGATGCAATTCTGCATAGAATCCATCCAGCTTCCAGGTTTTACTGTCAAAGCTTAACTACTTGCCCTCCACCCTATAGCAGAAGTACTGTTACAGGGTGGCAGGGCTGTGCAAAAATCACATATATACGTGATTTGCATTTCCGGGTAGGGGGCACGCATGCGCTGCCCTACACATGGCCCTATTGGCGGCTAGAGATGTCAATCACCGGGTCCCGGCCGGCGATTCCTGGCCAGCACTCGGTGATCGTCGGGCAAAGCTGACAGGGGAGAGACCTGTGTGTAAACACAGGTCCCTCTCCTGTCAGCATGGACATGCTGCTTTGTATCTTTCTGCATGCCAGAGAGATACAAAACAGCATGTCTCCCTAGTAAAACACAACACAGTGCACACAGTAAAAAACACACACAGCACACTTTTAACCCGTTGATCGCCCCAGATGTTAACCCCTTCCTGCCCAGTGTCATTAGTACAGTGTAATTGCTTTTTGTTAGCACTGATCACTGTATTAGTGTCACTGGGGATGTCAGTGGCAGTTAGTCAGTTCCCCACCCGCACACCCTTAGTGTCAGAATGCCCGCCGCAGTCCCGCTATAAGTCAGTGATTGCTGCCATTACTAGTATAAAAAAAAATTCCAGTATATATACCTGTCATTTGTAGATGCTATAACTTTCATGCAAACCAATTAATTTACATGTATTGGGATTTGTTTAGCACAGACATGTAGCAGAATAAATATTGTCCTAAATTTATGAAGAAATTTGATTTTTTTAAACATTTTTTATTGGATATGTTTTATAGCAAAAAAGGCAAAAATATTGCTTTTTTTTTTTTTCTTTTCAAAATTCTCTTTTTTTTTTTGTTTAGTGCACAAAAAGTAAAAATGCACAGACGATCAAATATAACCAAAAGAAATCTTTATTTGTGGGGGAAAAATTACAAAAATGTCCTTTATGTACAGCGTTGCATGGCTGCGCAATTGCCAGTTAAAGTAATTCAGCGCCGTATCGGAAAAAATTAGCTGGTAAGGATGGGGATGTAAATCCTTGGGAGGGCAAGTGGTTAACTGAGCAAGCTAAAGTTAGAAACCGACTGCATGTAGAGCTGCAGCAGATTCTGAGTGCACCAGTTTTATTAAATCAACCCCTTAAAGTTGAAGTTTAGTCTGCTTTCCCTCTTATCAACATGCTAATGAAATTTGTAATAAAACATTTGACTTTTTATTACATACCTCATTTTAGCTTTAATGACATAATCACTGGGTCTTTGTGCTTCTATATGTAATGCAGGCAGATCATGACTTGTGGGAAAGAGGGAGGGGAGGAGACTGGCAGGGTGCTGTACATAGCTCCCTGAAACATCACAGCACCCTGCCTCACTACCCCAATCAAAAGTCCTTGGCCCTAAGGCAAGCAGTAGGCTGGCTCTTTGGAGGAGTTATACAAATATCAATGAAGGTGGATGTTAGTCTGAAGGAGTGGGAGTTCCTATCCAGGCTGCATTGGCATGCATACTACCCTAGGTAATGCCAATACGGGATGGTAAGCCTCAATGATTAAAATGACTAAAATTCTATGAAAAAAAGGGGCAGGCCAGGGAAATGAGATGGACTTTGTCAGACTTTCTGCAGATTCTAGTTCACACTTTGAGAAGCTTACAATGCACAGTGAAAACCTGTCAGACGTGACTCATGCAGATAGCAGAGGAAGGAGCAGCTGACAGAAATTACACTTAGTGCTCTGGATTGAGACAGGTACACACTACAGAGGGATATGCTTTGTTCATATTTCATGTCTGAGGTTTACAACCGCTTTAAATTAGTATTTAGATATGTTTGGGTTTCAGAATTTTGAATTGACAAAAATATAAAAAAAAAAAAATAAACATAGCATGGTAGGGAACATACCTGAATCTGAAATGTCATCCCAATATGGTGAATCAAATTCATAATCTGCCTTTAGTATCTGTTCAAAGAGCTTGGAGTCATTTTCATCATAGAAAGGTGGATATCCACAGAGGCTAAAAAGGGTAAAAATAACATTAATACAGTACAGGTACAAAAACCTTAAAGCATATTCAAATCCTATTCATATTCAAACCTTGTTGTTTGCAAGTAGTAAATACCCTTCTTCATCCTCAGGACAGAAAGTAAAATGTACATCTCCCCCATGGGGTAATGACAGCAAACAAAAAAAAACACCTTGACAGAGGTATCAATTCCTTTTCAAGCCAAAACTAGAAATGAAATATTTTAACTTTAGATAAACTGTAATAATATTTTTGTGTCTAAGGCTCAGTTCACACTAGCTTTGTCAGCAGGTGTCAGACAGGCATTTAGGAAGTGTTTTTAATGCTTCTCAAAAATTCTGCACATGGCAGCACACAGTGCTGTTCACACTGAAGCGTTAGTGTTGCGTCCCGGCAAAACTGACGCCTCATGTCGAGTCAGGAGTTGAAGCCTCACATTCAAGTCTATGGTGCCGCTCCTCAAACGCCTCTCAGGTGTTTGCGGTGCGGTGTCGAGGCATTTGCGGAGCGCAATATCATTTAACTTCATTATAGGCGTTTGTGGTGCTGTTTTAACGCTTGGCCAACGGCTCAAAACCATGCATAGGGCGTTTGGGGAGCGTTAAAAACGCTATAGGGGTGTTTTGCAAGAATTAGAAGTCAAGTGTGAATGAGCCCTTATGCACCCGTTTGAGCCTAGTAAGCTAAAAAGTGTTTGTAAGAAATTGTGTGTGCGTATATATATATATATATATATATATATATACATATATACATACACACACACACACACACAAATTGTGCCAACACATAGCTGCCGCATAGCTGCTGCATGAGGGGATCTGGATGAAATCCTCGCTCACTAGATCTGGAACCCCATAAAAAGTGTAAGGAAATAGAAAAAAATATATACTGTGTGTATATATATATATATATATATATATATATATATATATATATATATATATAGACACACACATTTAAACAGTATATATAGAAAAATAAATAAAAAAATAAAATTATATATATATATATATATATATATATATATATATATATATATATATATATATATATATATATATATATATACACACACACAAACAGACACACACAGTGTATTTATTTTCCTTTTTTTGTTTTTACACTTTTTGGGGAATTCCGGATCTGGTGAGTGAGGATTCCATCCAGATCCCCTCATGCAGCTATGCCTTGTACCTAACTAGAGCCTTGTACTCCTGCAATCAATGCTATGAATTTATCTAAAAACTATAAATTGTTACAATGTAAAATGCTGAATGATAGTTTTCCACACTAGTTGGGCCAACAGTGAGAATTTTACAGCAATCTGCAAAATTTAGACTTTTCTCATAAAACAGAAAACATCATGAATGATAAATAATTCTCCTAACATTTTTTTCCAATTCACTATTTGACAGCAACTACAATAACCGAAACAAAGCGGTCTGGAGGTAATTATTACTCATTACTAACTGGCACTGATGCAAGTCTGATAAGTGTATTCTTGGACTGCAGTGTGTGTTAAATCTCCGGTAATGGCTGATGCTCAGCTGCTTCTAATATAGCCTGTTTTCCTCATGTAACGCCCACATGTCCATACAATATTGTACTTATCAACCATTTATACCATTATAATGGTCTCTGTAGGAACTTTAATATGCAGTCTAGTAAGGCTTTAGTATTTAAATCAGTGTCATGTGTGGAAAGGCAAAACGTTCCTTGTTAGGTCTCATGCACACTGACATTTAATTTTACCTCTCCTAGAAGCCATTAGTGTTTTGACCAAAAAAACGCAGACGCTTTTAAAAGTGTGTACTGCGGTTACACACATTTACCCGTGTCAAGCGTTTGGGAGGTAATTATTCACAACTGGCTCCCCTCTGCAGATGTGCAAGGTCAGGCAGTGCAGGAACACTGGTCCTGCAGCCTCCTGGGTCATATGGTATGTCCCAGGAGGCTGCAGGTTGGGAGGGAGGTGGAGCAGGACAATGTCATTCTCGCCTAAGTGAAGAATGAGGAAGTGGGAGCAGGTACTGACATTCCCTCTGTCCCCCCCCCACAAAAACCCTACAACTCAGTTACAGTCTGGGGGGCAGGGAGAGAATGATTGTAATTCACTTACTGAGTAAAGTTCTGCTTTAATATGTGTGCTGTAATATCAACTTGAGGTTCACCAAAACTATGTAATATGAGGGCCTACCTATTCTATACAATCAATATAGCAAAGATGCAAGAAGTTGTCATGTATAACTAACTGATTATGCTAGGAGCAGCAGATGTGTATTTGAAATGAGGATCTCCAAAAAGTGTAAACGGTGACTAGACTCCTTTAAGTAATGCTACTTTCAGACTGATCCGCGGCAAACACAAGACAAAACCGCATATACCTTTTTGCCACATTTGCAGTGAGTTTTTTTATAGGACATGTGACTCAAAAACCGCACCCAAAAGGCAATGCAGGTGCAGCATTTTCCATTGATTTCAATGGGGAGGTGTGTTTTTGGTGCATATTTTTGTTTTTACTGCACCAAACCTGCACCAAAAATACAGCAAGCAGTATTTAAAAAAATGCACCGGACCCACAACAGATCAGCGTGAAGAGTCCCATATGAATACATGGTCACATGTTTTTCTTCTGCTTTTGCGGAAGAAAAACGGATCAGTGTGAAAGCAGCCAAAGGCAAGTTGGGGACCCATCTATACAAAGCCTGGCCCAATTAACTTTCCAAGTATATTTTTCCCTTACTGTTGTCTGTGATCCCTCTGGGGCACATCACGTTATCTAACCATAACTGTCCCGTTGACCACTGCCCAAGAGATAGAGTGATAGCAAAGCCAAAATACAAAAGTTGTCACCAGAAGAGAAGGTGGGGGAAATCTTCCAAGGGCACAGCTGTTCCATTAACAAGAGGGATTTCCCTTCATTTAGAAGAGATTTCCGCTCAGTTCCTGTTAGGACAGAAAATAAAGGGAAATCCCCAAGAAAATACATAAAAAACAAACATTCTGTACCCCTATATGTATATATATATATTAATAGTAAAAAGGTTCGGTCTGAGCATGTAAGCCCTTTACAAAATAATCTAGAGTGTGTGACTGGGGACAAAGAGAAGGCAAAATGTATTAAATACCTTCTTCAGCTCTGTGTCTACAAAGGAGCATGGGGGAGCTCTTGTCCATAAAGGGGATGGTATTGACACAGCTCCAGATGATCCACATTGACTCACAATTGATATGATCCAAAATATTTAGACAGAATAAAAGGTGAATAAAGCACTTGAACCGGATAGCATACACACACGGGTCCTTAAAGAATTGAGCTCTGTCATTTCAAAACTATTGTTTCTAATTTTTAGGGACTCTTTAATGACTGGCATAGTACCACTGGATTGGCGTAAGGCCAATGTGGTGCCAATATTTAAAAAGAGTCAAAAAGTAATTATAGACATGTTAGTTTAACATCTATAGTTGGGAAGACTGGAGAGTTTAATAAAATACCATATAGAGGAGTTCTTGCTGGAAATTTTAAGCAACAGACAGCATGGATTCATGAAAGACAGAAGTTGTCAATCAAATCTGATTTCTTTTTATGAGGTGAGCAAAACCTTAAATGTAAGGTTATGCACTTGGGGGCTAAGAATATGCATGCATCATACATACGAGGGGGAGTACAACTGGGGGGGATCAATGGTGGAGAAGGATCAAGGAAATCTGGTAGATCACAAGCTTAATAATGGCATGCAATGCCAAGCTGCAGTTTCTAAAGCGAGCAAAATCCTCTCTTGTATTAAAAGAGGTATAGACTCCAGAGAGAGAGAGATATCATATTACGCCTGTACAAATCATTAGTAAGACCTCATCTGGAATATGCAGTTCAGTTTTGGGCACCAATTCACAAAAAGAACATTGGGGAACTAGAGAAAGCACAGAGAAGGGCAACCAAACTGATAAGAGGCATGGAAGAGATCAGCTATGAGGAAAGATTAGAGGAACTGAATTTATTCTCTCTTGAGAAGAGATTAAGGGGGATATGATCAACATGTATAAATACATCAGTGGTTCATATAGTGAACTCGGTGTAGAGCTATTCACCTTGAGGTCATCACAGAGGACAAGGGGGCACTCTTTACATCTGGAGGAAAAGAAATTTAATCTCCAAAGACAGAAAGGTTTCTTCACAGTGAGAGCTGTGAAAATGTGGAATAGACTCCCTCAAGAGTTGGTTCTGGCCAGCTCAGTGGATTGCTTCAAAAAAGGCCTGGATTCTTTCTTGGATACACAGAATATAACTGGGTACTAACATTTATAGGCAAAGTTGATCCAGGGAATATCCGATTGCCTCTTGGGGGATCAGGAAGGAAATGTTTTCCCCTGCAGGAGCAAATTGACTCATGCTTTGTTGTTTTTTTTCTGCCTTCCTCTGAATCAACTGTGGGTATAGGATTATAACTTTTTTTTAATGGTTGAACTGGATGGACTTTTGTCTTTTTTTTTCAGTCAGACTAACTATGTAACTATGTACCCTTTCCAAAAAATGTGGGTTGGATATGTTTTTAATTGGAAGCTACTCTTACAAGCATAATACTGAACACTTGCAGTTCTGACAGATGGCAGAAAGAATTAATAATGTGTGTGTTTTCCACCTGCATATGAAAATGCAATTTCATGCGAATGTTACTATACTTACAGAATATATGCAATGACCCCAATAGACCAGCAGTCTACTGCTTTGCTGTAGGGCTTCTGGGCAAGCACTTCTGGAGCTGTAAATGCATATAATATATCATTATAATGTAGACATAAGTAAGACATACAGCAATCATTTGGAATTCATTGAAATCCAGCTAATAAATGCTTTTTCTTTTATGTGAAAACACTGGAAAAGATCCAGTACCCAAACAGATACTCAGATGATTTGCCAAGCTGGTGTATTGCTCTTCTGCTGTACCTCCTCTGTGCTAACAATTGTAGGCTGCCATGTGAGAAGAAAAAAGAAAAAGGAGAAGAGAGGCACCCTCTGAGTGCAGTATGCAGGAAAAATGTAATGAACCACAATGATAAAACTCACAGTGTAAAGAAGTTACAAAAGCCCATCAGTAGAACGTTACTGTGTCCTGCAAGGGTCCATCCCATGGGGAGCTTGCCGCTAATGATAGTGACAGGATCCTGGGCTGCTGGAGAGAGTAGAGGATCCCACAGTCTTGTGAGTGTTCGGCAGAGTCCCAGGCTGCTGGAGGTGATAGGGAATCACTGCATCTCTTCCTGTGTGACGTCACGTCTGCATCATTACGGTTCACTCTGGTCAGAGACACTTCCGGTTCTGGTCGGACGATGGAGCCTTGGATTCACTATCACCTCCAGCAGCCTGGGACTCTGCCTAACACTCACTATGAGACTGTGAGATCCTCTACTCTCTCCAGCAGCCCGGGATCCTGTCACCATCTTAAGCGGCCAGCTCCCCACAGGATGGACCCTTGCAGGACACAGTAATGGTCTACTGATGGGCTTTTTAACTTCTTTACATTGTGAGTTTTATCATTATGGTTCGTTAAATTTTTCCTGCATACTGCACTCAGATGGCACCTCTCTTCTTCTTCTTTTTGCATACAGAGCTGGCTTACTCTGGAATGGCTGCTATCTGAAGCGGTTACTAGCCCTAGACTCTATTGGGACTTATGGACATAAAACACTGGATTAGCCATTGCGCTGAGATCTCTCCCTTATTCATGCCATGTGAGAACAGAATGACCATTGAAGACTGGCAGGAAAATAAAAGCATGACTGCTTCACATGAATTGTTATTTACTGGAAAACAGTCTAGTGATAGTCCAGAAAACACATGTATGAAAAGCAAAGCCAAGTGGAATAAATAAAAATGTGTGTAAGAAAAATAATAAACCGTCAGCCGGAATGCACCGGTACTCAATACTGGCAGCTCCACCACTAGTACAGATACCTCTAGCACTCGTCCTGTATGTGGAGCTACAAAGCCTCATATTGGCTGCTTAGCAATTCCAGCAAGGACACAAGAAAGTACCTTTTATGTGGGGAGAGGGGACAGCAGAAACATGTTACATATTGCACCCTGAATACAAGTATAACATGTCATAAAAGCTGAACTTATCCTTTAAGCTTATAAAAGTCTCTACTAAACGTGGCTTTTGTTTATTGGTGTCCCTATTGCAGAGATATCCCACTCCCTGAGGGAAAAGCTCCAAAATAGGGACACAGACACAAAACAAATGCCCCAAACCTTCACTACTCCATTCAATATTAAATAAAACATTTGAGGCACAATTCACAAAGCTGACATGCCAGAGTAACAATAACAATCCTTATTTCTAAATCAAAATGAGTCAAATGAGATTTAAAAATGATTGTCACTTGACCTTATCGTTGTGTTAAAGCATTTTCAGAAGAAGGAGTCCTCTGCATGGCTATGAAACAGTGAACGCATGCTGATGTGGTTTTATGATGCAGTAAAAGTGAATTTACTACATGAAGTTTGTTGCGCTGGTGGCATATTCTATTGATGTAATTTCCAGTTGTTGGTTTGTAGAAGTGTGAAGGAAATTGTATTTATTGTCACAGGGAGAAAGTCACATACTGCTCCATAAATGGGTATTTCCTTTGTTGGGGGAGAAAAGGGAATCTGAATAAATGCTGGGGATGAAAACATACAGTATATGGACAAGTATGTTTTACAGTTTGTTCTTTTTACTATTAAAAACAATACTGTACGGCTTCATTTTTTTTCAGAAATTTTGACTAAAAAATCACTTCAGTTTAAAACAGGTGAAAGCAGCGTCAAGAAAGAAAGAAAGCCAAATGGAAAATCAAGGTGCAGGCTGCAGTGAGCAGAAGACTAAGTGCCCGTTCACATATGTGGATTGGATGTGGTTTGAACTGCATCCAATCCGCATGAGATGAGAAATACCATTGCTTCCTATATGTGTGATGTATGATTTCTGAGCAGTGCAGTCAGGTTCAGGTGCGGATTGCAGGACATTGACTTCTATGGGAACCGTTTCTAAACCTAACATGTGTGAACAGGATAAAATCCTGAGCTGATGCTCTCCTGAACCTGATGTAAACTTGACCTGAACCAGTGAACAGCTACTGTGTCAATTAGCTGAGAAACCTGAGCTTCAATCCGCACCGCACGTGTGTGAATCACCACTAAACACAGATGCAACAAATTCTTGGGGAGGATTCAAGCTATCATAGGTCAGCAGAGTTTTACTACAGCCAAAAAAGGATTTAGAGGCAATGTTTAGGTCTTCAAAAGAAGGCAGCAATTCATGAGGTCCTGGATAAGAGAGTGACACGACACCCCGAAACTGGGTGCAAAAAGGGAGATCTACATTACAAAGTGCCAAAACCCAGTGTAAAACAGAAGTTCAGGTCTGAGGGAAACATTGGCTTAGTATCAGGACCATTTCAAGAGAAACATGTCTCTGGAAAGAAGAAAGAAACCTAGGAGAAGAAAGGAGACCAAGTTCTTGCTGAAAAATTAACTGTTGCAGTCCCCAAAGCTGTCATCATGTCTTATAAAGATGAAGATAAAGTGAGTTCAAGTCAGTCCTTTACCAGCCTGAGGACAAACTGCCATGACTGCTGACAAATTTAATTTCCATTTTGTCCTTGGAGAAGGAAACTTTGCAAAAGTCTTTCTGGCAACGGATCATGTGTGACGGAAACAGGTGGCAGTAAAAATATAAAAATAGACAACTGATAGGTGGAGATCACCTCATGATTGAGCATAGGATCCTGCAACTATCAAATGAATGCCACTTTCTAATTCATTGCCATGGGGCATTCCACACACAGCTACTTGTATTATGTAATGGAGCTGGCCAGAGGTTGGACCCTGCTTCAATTGCTTTGCATGAATGGATATCTGAAGGCTAAGGTGGCAAGATAGATATACAGTATCACTGTGGAAATAGTCTGTGGTCTCTATTTCTTGCATTGTAAAAGGAGTCATTCATAGTGATGTGAAGCTCAGTAATGAGTTACTGACCAGTAATGGCTATGTGAAAATCACAGATTTGGGCATTGCTATTGAAAATGTCTTTGGAAGCGCTTAAAAGTATGGACTAGCTGGGACATTGGGGTACATGGCCCCTGAGATATTAAAAAAATCAGCTACAATGAGAGCTGATTGGGTGTCCAAGTACAAAATACTCACCAATTTGTAGCCCCTTTGGGGGGAACAGGAACAAGATAAGATATAACTAAAAATACCCTCACCACAGAGCCAAGTTACAAGGGTCTTGGCCATGAAGAGGTCAATGTTTTAAAGGGGCTGTTGTGTAAAGACCCATCTCAATGACTAGGGGTCTATGTAGACATAAGGGTTCACCCATTTTTTGCATCCACCCTTTACCCCTTAGCGAAGCCTTTAGGAAACCTCTCTCTAAAAAGAAACTGTTGAGGTTTAAGGACTTTGGCTTCGTCTATCTGGCCTGGGCTTCTGATTACTATATCTCCCAATGCAGCAGGATGTGGTGCCACTGTATTAATTTTATGAAGGGTGAGGCATACATGTCTTGGCTATTCAACATGAAAGCTCCTTATGCCATTGTCATTTCTTACATCTCTGTAAAATTTTGGATGAAGTGGGTAGTTAGAAACTCTGTGAAGTTTTTTCATCTGTGTGTCCCCGATGGAAATATTCCCCTGCACTTCCTGCCTGGACACAGACAAAAACATATTTTTAATAGATTGGGATAGTCTTAGAACTCCTGACCATGTTTTTACCCTTCCTGTCCCAGTGACAACTGCTCCCACCATTTCTTCTACAGGTGTCACAAGAGTAGGAAGTGAAGTAATGTCTTTTCAATGGGAATCACAAGCAGAAACATATTCCTGACTCACTCTATCCAAATCGCTAAACAAAACTGTTGGATGGAGTTAGAATTTAAAGTACAATACAATGGGAAAAAAAATCAACTTAGACCACATTCACATACGTAGCTTTCCAAGGCCATATACCACCCAAATCAGCGTATTCATGTGGTTGGTATTGCCAGGTGTTTGCAATCAGCAGAGGCTGCTCAGACTGTACAAATCAATGACAGGCTTCACAGCTGTTCGCATGTAATCATCAATGGAGTGACTACATGATATTAAGGACAGATGAGCAGCCCTGGACACGAACTGTCTGCCTGGAGCTGTCAGCAATGTTATATGGGAGTATACGTAAGCCAATTTCCTCCTCTCCAAGCCTAATTGTTTCTGCTCTGATCTCTGCGCTGGTTGAAGATGAATCAGGGAAGAGTCCACTCTCCAACACATAAACAAGCAAAAAGAAATTTTCTGCACTCCAATAGCATCACATGGATTTGGTTTATTGAAGCAGTCACTAAAGCCCTTGTTCTTGGGACCTCCCCTCTAGCATGGTTCATCCAAAAGGGCTTAGTGATAGAGATAGGGAAAGGCTAGAAAGAGGGTCTTTATATATACACACACTTATGTCACATGATCACTACAATATTTAAATGCTAAGTTGAAAATTTGGAATAGGCTCCCTCAAGAGTTGGTTCTGGCCAGCTCAGTAGATTGCTTTAAAAAAAGGCCTGGATTCTTTCATAAATGCACATAATATAACTGGATACCAACACTTATAGGTAAAGTTGATCCAGGGAATCCGATTGCCTCTTGGGGAATCAGGAAGGAATTTGTTCCCCTGTTGAAGCAAATCAAATCATGCTTTGCTGGGTTTTTTTTATTCCTCTGGATCAACTGTGGACACAGGATT